CCAATGAGCCCACTATACCAGTTTCCCCCTTTCAAATGCATAATTTTGTGCTTGCTCCCCAGCTGCCTCATGCTTGTGAGGAGAGCCCCACAATTATCCTTTATTCTCCTTTGCTATTGAGTCTGCAACAGTTTGCCAAATTTTTGATACCTGGGGCATGCTGTTTTTTATGGATTAAAATTGGCAGCACACTTCACGCTTACATCTGAAAAGATGTAGGGGGTTTTTTTCAGACCATATAAAACATCCGTTACCCTACCAGAGGACACCATGCCAGTGCTGTGATGTACTGTTAAAAAATGACACTCTTTAAGCAAGGGGTTGGTGTCTGTACCAGTGATTCTCAATCTTTTTAGCCTCAAGACTCTGCTCCATAACTTTTCTGAATTTCATTGCACCCCAGTTAAAAATCATGAGATGGATCTGACTTCAAAAAAAGACACAGAAGGAGGCATTGAGGCTAAAAATGTTAAGGTTTAGTGATCTAGCTCAGGCCCCTTCAGGGTTGCTGATGCCACCCTTCACTCTGGTGTGTCCTGCTCTTTTCACTGTCTCCTCCCAATACCTGCTCTGTACCTCAGGGGGCAACAGTAGCTGCAGCTACTGAGACTGCTTATACAGCATCTCACACACCAGCAATCACCCCTATGGCCTCTCCTGCCAACTGTGGGAGGGTTGGAGGGGATGAGCAGGGCTGCCAAAATCAGCTCCATCTGTGCATCTGCCTGCCCACAGCCGAGCAGGCTGCTGAGAGCATGGCAGTAGGGAAGGGCAGGAGCAGTGGTGGCAGATGCCAGAGCTGCAAGTGCCACTGGAGTACCTGTGGCAAGTGCAGGGTGTGGGATGGGGGAGGACAGCATTTACCCCTGGACATAGGGGAATCTCATGGCACATTTCCATTGCTCTCGCAACACTAGTGTGCCAGGGGCCACCCTTTAGGAGTCACTGGTCTAGAACAATCTTGACAGAAATGAGAAGTGCTGACCACTGCCAATGCATCTGGCTAATACAGTGTCACTAGTTCCTTGTACTCTCTCTCTCCCTCTCAAGTCAGAACAAGGGGCTGCTATTGTATGCTCTGCTACTGAACATTTCTCCTCCTGTGACTCTTCTTCAAGCCACTTAGTCCCCCCCTGACCATATCTAACCTGAGGAAAATAGTTGTACTCTTGTCAGCAGAGTATTTGAGCTAAAACTACAACTTGTCCTGACTACACTAGGGTTGTACAGCCCTAGCCACTGGTGCTCAACCTTTTTGTGCTGTTGGCCAGAAGGGCAGTACCCAGCACATCTGTGGGATGGATCCCACCAGTGGGCCTGATCTGGCTGCACAGAGAGGGGTAAAGGGCAGCCTGGCCCTGATACAGCCATGTGATGGGGAGCTCCAGGCTGCTGTTTAAGTGCTCTAGGGACTAAAGGCTTATTTGGGGATACCTCCAGAGGTGTGTGTGTGTGTAGGGGATGTGTGTGTGGAAATTAAGGGCTGAGTGTATGTTACCACAGTGCTGATGTTTCTTTACCTTTGACCTGTTCCCTTCCTTTGACCCAAACCCCTGTGATTTTCTGTATAAAAGTGGGAACTCCCCCTTGCTGCTTGTGCCAGTTTTTGGGGCTACAGGGTTGGCATACCATCAGTGAGCCCTGGTAAGACATCACCCTTGAAACCAGGGGCCTGCCCACAACCAGGGGCTAGTCCTGGCCGCAGGCTAATGCTCTTTCCAAGCCAGGCCTGAGGAGCCTGCTCTGTTTTTGAAAGGCAGTCTCTCACTCTCAGAGGCTCAGTGGGGGAGAGTGAGCAGGTGGAGGGTCGGGTGCAGCGTTGCCAGGTCTT